TTGTCTGGTCACTGACGGTGTCTGGTATAACATTAACCATTGTCAATTATTATCAAGCTTTGAGGAATGATGTTATTGTTGGTACTAAAATCAGTGGCGGCAATGTGAATATGCAATTACTAATAATTTAGGTATTACTGTATTAGTACCTATATTTATGAATGCCTACCTGTGCGTTAAGCTTTTTTCCACAAATTGTCTTTTGTTTTTTCATTCTTATTACACAAATAACCGGTGGCGACATGGCTGGCCACCTCACATAAATGTTGTATATTATAGAAAATAATATTTATTATAATGGCACGATCAATTCTAATTTAAATTTTAAGTGTATACGTTTTGTACACGCACGACCGTACATTTGTGAATTAGGAACCTGCTCTCAGATACCTCTATAATATTATTATAAATAAAATAAATAATAATAATTACGTGTAGGTAAAACCGTAGCCCGTAGGTACCTCAATATTATAGTAGTATGTTTTAGTCAACAACAACTAATTAATTCACCTAATATTAGAGTAAATACTAGGTATACTTAAAGAAACTTGAATTCGTTTGCTTTTCGAATCAACCGGTGTCTAATGTCTATCCAATGAGCCCCAATAGATAATAATAAATTCCTCTCAACAAAATCTATATTGTGACATAGGTAGGTATACTGTTCAATTACATATTATACTACTATTACTATTGTAACATGCCAACTAATACAATACAAGTAAAGTAAGTTGTTTACATTATACTTTATATTTTAAGTATTTCAGTTAATGAACGTCCAAATCTCAGCTCCTCTCAAACCAAAATCGATATCTGTGTTGTATTTGTCTCAATAAAATTATTCGTTTCTCCATACGTTTCGCAATACGAAAGTTCAGACATCGATCGGATTACTTCAGGCAGGCAAGGCCAGATTAAGAACGTATTGGGTATCTGGGCTGAAATTTCATATGGGCCATTTTGATAAGACATGCTTTAAAAAGCCACTCAGGAAGATGCATCTTTCTAACTATTTCACAAACTGACAATTGCATTATAAAATTAATAGGTAATGTATGTCTATATAACTACTAATTGTAGTATAATAAAAGTTAACACTTCATGTTTCATTAATTTAAATTCAAATTTTCATAATAACTTTTAAATTTATTAACAGTATACTTATTTACAACAAATATTAAATAACAGTAAAATTCGGTTTTCTGCCATAGTGCTTTTGCAGGTATTATTTACTATTTAGTTGTTTTTGTTGATAAAAAAAATGATTTTTAAAATATAGAAAAACTATCACTGAAAAATTAATTGTATCAGCTTAAAATTGTTTGGGCTCCTTTCATTTTGGTGCTTGAGAGGGCCCCAGGGCTTCCACTCCCCCTTAATCCGGCCTTGGGTGCAGGCGGTGCAGCAAACAGAGATTATTGCATTGACGCACAATGCACATCATGCGTGTTTCGTGTACCTATTAAGTTCGCTATCCAATTCAAATGAGATCGTAATCGTTATGAATATTGTAATCGAACCGATTACAGTGGGCCATATTATAATTCTATACATCAGCTGCGGGTTCTACAGACTGCAGTAAAACGTGTTCGATGTATACAATAAGGTCTGCAGAGTGAAACGAATTCAAATCGTCGCCTTCCGAGCCTTTGTAGCATTCAGAAAACACTATGGACGCTCAACGGGGAGCCTTTTCGCAACCGAAAACTGTATAAGTGACGGACATGGGTACTCCCATATGAATTATAATAGCGTTTACGACAATTAGGGCAGCGTGTCTGAATTATAATATCATAAATAAATTAAGCACATGCCTATTGTTACAGGTACCATAAAATATTCACTAAGTATTCGTTAATTATAATTTATAAACCTACCGATAAATACGTACCTACCTATTCTGTCACACATAATTTTCATTATTTTCATTATAATTTATTTTTAGGGTTTTGGTTGTGGTAATTAAACACACAAAATACCAATCATTCGATACACTATGACCGCTGTATATTTTCGATGGTAGTTAAACCTCTTAGTATATATTTTTAAAAGTCGTCATTAACTAGTAAAAAAAGATTTTTTTAGCGTTCTAGTTTAAAGGACTTGTACCTCTAAAAAATCACTGAATATGCAAGCACTTATGCACTTGAGAACCCTATAGTATGCACCAAACATTTTTTTCTAGTGTTTAATTTAAAAATATTAATATAGTTTAAAAAATACCTAAAATAAGAATACCTAACAAATTAGGTACCTTCATAATTTAATTATATGTTATACCATGGCCATATTAATTAAATAAAGTTTTAGTCTTAATGAAATAAAATATACTTGTTGAATAACTATAAAAATAAAATGAATCGCAAACACAACAGAAAACACTCGAAATGTGCACATATTTATGAATATTATATCGGGTTTGGGTACTGTGGGCTTTGGCTGTAACCTGTGCTGAGTGTGCCGTGACAGTTATCCATCTATTAATAAAATTAATAAGCAGAAAATGAATCTAGACGGACCAACCACAAGTGCTTCTAAGAAATCCCATACACAGTAATAATATGGCTAAAATTAAGAATAAATTTAACTCCAACAAAAATAATATGAAAATATTGAATGGAATAATTGTCAGTTCCTATTTAGAAATTACTTATTTTTGTATGATTTGGTTGTACTATTTCCTATTTGGACCAAATTAATCTAATTAATTAAAATATGTGTCAAAAAGTATAAAATCAAAGAAATATGCCCGAAATGGAAAAAAACCTCAAAATATGTATTTATATGCAAAATAAAATTATAAAACTACCTTTGTCATAATACGTATTTCTTTCTTACTCTGTTATTTTTGCGACCGTGTAACACAAATATGCAAATGCTACAAGTCCTCTGCTCCAAATGTATTAAATAAAATAATAATTTATCTTGGCATCTAGCTATAGAGTCCATAATAGCAAATACTAATATTTGAGTTTTTTCCAGTTAATTTGAAAATTAGTAATGATTAAATATAATTAATACTGAAAATAATAATTGCCTTATGTCTATATGTATAACTGTCTGTAAACTAATTAGTTAAATATTTTTATTGAATCACTCGGTAGTCGACACTGCAGACTCAAATTTACAATGGTTATATACTTTTATAAAAAAATTGAGAAAATAAAATATATTCTTTGATTTAATAATTTAGTTGACGGTTTGACATAAATTTGTTATTGACTACTATTCTATAATAGAGTATAGACCATAGTTTATAAGTTTATAACCACTACCTGTCTACTTTCTTCCTAGTCCTTACAGAAGGTGTGCTTTAACGCCAATAACTAATAAGATAACATATAAAAAGGAATGGTACAGAGTATAGACTATAATACTATACAGGAAATAAGAATTAGGATACAATGGGTGCCTTTAATGATGCATTATTGTACAATAAAACATTTAGGGCTGTTCTTAAAAAGTTAACCGATACTTAACCGCACATTGTGAGAACGGCCCTAAGTTACATCCCAATTATTTAAAAAAACTGATAGTTGCACAATCATTTTAAGTATATTATATTATTGTGTGTGAGTGTGACCCAGGTGGTAATAAGCAACAAAAAAATTAATTTCGTTTAAACTGAGTTAAGTTGATATTATTTTTCGTATTAACTTTAAGCTTTTAGAGTCAAGTACCTACTTAAATATAATGTTTGTTAACTGCAGCTGATTTATAACAACATTGGCTACTTAACATTGACTTAACTAAAGTAACTCAGGTTAATTATTTGCATTAACTTACTCACCTTTGAACCTATATATTACCTATATTCTAAATTCTAATATATCAAATGTTTTGTGTGATATATTATTATGTAGGTAATTGTGAAATATTTATTTTATATAGACGAGCTTGGTGAACTCCGGTCGCATTTTATAGCATTATTTACAAGTTTTTGTGGAATCTTATGCATAGCTATAAAATTAATGAAAATTTAATGCAAATTAATTTCGTAAGATAATAAGGAATGACTGAATGTATGAATACGAAATTGTATTTTGCATATTATTTTTGGCTTAGTAATTTAAGGTTTTTATGTGTATAGGTACCTATATAGGTACTATATTTTACGATTTTACTTTACGTTTGTATCTTTTATGACTAGAATTGGTTTCGAATTTCATGTTTAATAATTATTGCTTCTATTATAAATTATAATAATTATTTTACCAAAACACACATATTAAAATACTACAAGAGAGCAAAATTTGATCTTTCTTTATTTTTAGGATTGACCAAATTTACCAAATTGTATTTTAATATCTATTAATACGTAGCCTATAACATTGAATAACAAAACGGGTTTACTTGTGTATTTGAGCTACAACAACAATATTATTTTTCACCGATCGCCGAACGGAACGACAGAGGACTTGTTCATTTGTCACGCTATTCGATCGAGATTTTTATCGAAACTCCAAAAACGACAAACGACAATATTATAACATACTCCGGTTTTTCGGGCTGCTATCAATTTGGCGTGTCGTACCTATGTTTTTACAGATTTTCTTTTTGCTTTTCTCAATTTGAAATTTCAAAAACTGGCTTTTTAAAAATATAATAAATGTAAACACGAGGCCGACGACAGTCAAAAACAACATAATATTGTAGTACGAAAGTGTTGAGTATTTGAGCTACAACAACAACATTATTTTCGGAATGATCGCGAATCGTATCGAAACTCCAAAAACGACAAACGACATAATATAATAAATTCCGGTTGGCGGTTCTCCGGGCTGCTATCGATTCGGCGTGTCGTATGTTTTTACAGATTTTCTTTGTGCTTTTCTCAATTTGAAGTTTCAAAAACGCGTTTGAAAACTGGACGACAGTCAAAAACAACATAATATTATTACAATACGAAAACGTTGTGTATTTTGAACGTTCGGCGTGGCCGCACTGGGGCGCTGGCGGCGGCGCCTCTCCGGTCGACATGTGCGTTTCGCTCGAACCGGATGGCGTGCGTGCGCGTGGATATCTCAGTGATTCATTGCTCGTCCGTCGTCCGTCCGCGATTGTCGTCGTCGTCGCGGTTCACCTCCGTCACCGCCGTCACCGCCGTCACCGCTGTCACCGCCCCCGGCGCTTCGAGTACTTACGAGTTTCCGTCGCAGCAGCATTTCTCCGCGTACCTACGACTGAAATCCGTCACCACCAGCCCTGCAGGTAATACCTACCGATATTTATTATATTTCGTTTTTCTCCGCTCCCCCCCGTAGACGATTTTCTTGTGTAATGAGACGTAAATGCATTTTTTTTCGAACGTCCACTGCAGCATCTTACTGTACATATCATTTAGTATTATTATAAGCGTCGATACTTTTATCAAACAACACTCATTTATTCAAAAAAAAATTATTAACATTTTTGAAAGTTATATTTTCATTCATACTTAGGTACCTAATTTTAAGTAGTAGAAAAACAAAATTGAACCATGTAAAAATATGTATTGTTATTATTTTTAATATTATTTGGAGTATTTCTATGTATAACAAATCAAATTCGGACAAAAGCATAATCAGCTTACTTGAGTACACCTATAACTCTAAATACTTATTACTCAAAAACTACTAGTTCAAAATTCGATTTTTATGCACTGAAGGAAACTCCGAAAAATATTCGTATTTAAAATACTAAATTAAAATTGGTTTAATTTAGATGAGTAGAAATCTTCAATATTAGTAAAATAAAAAAAAAAAAGCGTTTTTCGATAAAAGAACCACCAAGTGTCACCGCAGTCGTATTTTTGTCGGTACTTACATATAATAATATAAATATATAATATACCGACGAGATGAAAAAAAAAATGGAAAAAATCTCTTTTCCCACATTCCGTGTCGAGTGTATGACGCGTCAAAAAAAAAAAAAAAATAAACAAGTAAACGTTGTTATACAAAATAACAGTGAAAATTCTTTTCGGGATCACCGGGCCGTGAAAACCCCCCATATGGTCAGCTAGTTTTTACGCCGGATTCCAGGGTAATTTTTTTCGTATTAGTGATGTATACCTACGACCTTGTGAAGAATGTGAGCAATTGTGTTTTGAGTATTTTCATTCCGTCTACATAGACACGCATCGTACTATTAAAATATATTTATATACAATATACACACGGACAGAGTATAATAATAATAATAATATTATTCTATTCTATTATCGTGATGAAAGTATACAATATAATATTTTTGACATTTATAGATATTTATAAATATTACTAGTCGGCTGGAAATGGTTCCGTAATATAATTTAATATTATAATAATAGTATGCTAAATGCTTCATTGCTTTTACGAATTGGTTCGATGAATAACTACGTACGTTTGATTGTTGTGTGGGCAGTACATAATATTATTATGTACTTCACTATGCTCGTGGTTTTAATTAACTAGAAATTAACGAAACATCTGTTGCTTTCAAACCAGGATATCTTTGTTGTTCATTAAAAATGATTTTAAATACCCATTACGTCATAATATCAGTCAAACCCTTCTTCATTTTATTTTATTATTATCATTTGGTTTTTACAATTTTTAAAAATGCATTCGTTACACATGTTCAATTAACAATAGCATTATCGCACTGAGAGTAATTATATTATACGTAACAAAACATAGTGCGATTAGTTAAGTTATTTTTTTTCTGAAATTCAAGTATCTAATTAATACATACTATAGTTACTAAACATTTGAAAATCTGTGCATTTTATGGATAACATTTTTTTTTATAAAATGTTCGTCGGTTTAACCTTTAAACGTTATGAGTTTATGACTTATCAATTATTTCAATATTATATAAAATGCTTTTAACAATAATAATAAAATATTTATAAAAATGTAACTGACGAGGTATTGGGTAACTTCATGAACTTAGTTACTTATGTAGTCTATTATGGCATTATTCATTAATAGGTTATACATTTTTAAAATAACTTGAATTGATTCAATATTCATTAATATGCAAAAATACTAACCATTATTCTTGTATAATAAAAGTTATTTTGTTACATTAATTTTGAATTGTAAGAAATAAGTATTCGTAGTTGAAATAATATTTGTATTGTTACTTCTAGCCCGGTTCTAAGTATATACATTATGCAACAATGTGTAGGTACCTAAATAAATATTAAATATTTATATTTATATATCAACTACATTACTATATTTCTTGGCGATATAATATTTTGTAATATATTCAAAATCTAACGTTACTGTTGCTCTATAATTAATGTTCTTAGGCATATAAGATAATATTAGGTTACTTAACATAAAAAAAAAACTTTTCGGTCATAATAATTATCATCTATACTCTCAAGCCATTAAAAATATTTGTTTATTGGGGCCAAATGGCCAATACACATAAGTTTCATCGACATTTCCTACCCACGTTTACCTATTGGCTTCTAGTCCGTGGGATGTATACATATAATAACTTATTATTAATACACCCATGTGCTTTTCCAAGGTATTGATATATATTTTTCTGTCAAAAAACTAATGTAATAATCGTAATAAAGCTGTTTAATATGAATTAGGTATTTTAATAAATTATGTAACCTTTTTAAAAATTGTAGGCCAAAAGATTATATTTCAATAGCAAGTAGCTACCTATAGTTTGTAATGTTGTATACCTATTATTATCTTTTAGTGAAAAACAGAATTTATTTTACAATTTAGTAGTATTAGTTCCTTGAAAATTATTTTATATAAACAATTTAGTGTTAGTTTAAAAAATTATTCCATAATAAACGAGATAATCAATTAGTTTGTGAAAACAACATTTAAATAAGTATGAAAGTGAGCTATTATAATTGTTATTTGTTTTAACCTATTTCTCATGTACCTATATTATATGCGTTGATTAAGAAGTTTTTTTTAATTATATTAAATTGGAATGTCTTATTAGATCTGATCTCGTTAAAGTCGACGAGTTAAAAATGTACAATCGCATGTACGATGTTCACACATTTTATTTCAAATTGTTATACTCTAATACGTTTGTGATATATATATTTAAATATTAACAAACGTTACGCCTGACAAGATATATGTTATTATTACGCATCATTTAAAATACATAAATATTCGTATTTATAAATAATAATTTTATGTATACATATATAATAATTTATATATAATACATAAATTATAATATAAGTAATATATATACAATAATTCAATAATAATAATAATAATAAGCAACACTATGGTAAATAAATAATAAACGATATTAATAATAATTATAGATTATATTATTTGTGTACCGGGCTATTTGTCAAATTTTCAAATTTAAAACGTCCTATTAGTATAGTGTATACTTTATATAGATAACTTTTTTCACTTTTTTACAATACACACATTAAACGTCGTGCATTATTATCTATAATATTTTAATAGCTTTAAACCGTTCGATTGAACACAGTTTGTCTGTACAGGATGTCCCACAGTGATTCGCTATAGGATCTGTAGGATCTGTGTGGTATATTATAGATTCGATCATTTCACCACCGTTATAAATTTCTAAATATTCGTGAGACACCCTGTATACGTTGTTAGATCGCTGGTAGTATATTAATTGAAGCTATATAGCAGCAGCTGGCGTTTTGGTCCCGAGATCTTTATTGAAGCTGAAACACAAGGGCGTTGTGTTCCGGCTGCTGGTCTATGTAACCGGAAAATCCTTATTACTCCCTGCCGGTTGTCGTTTATTTAAACTAGGTGCACGATTGTTGTTTGTTTAGAAATAGCTTTTATTGTTTTTAGTGTTTATGGAAAAGACGCATTTAGGTGGGTACACTTAAAAAATATATAATACATGTTATTATCATTATGTTTGTCGTTTTGGGTAAATCGCTTGTCAAACATCTCAGCTGTCGAGTGTGAAGTGTGCTTAAGATATTAGGTACGGGAATTTTTTACATCCACCCACGTTTTATCATTATTATACGAAAACCACTCACCCGGTATTTTACACGTGTAATAACTGAATTTTAATTTTGTAATAGGTATTAAAATATTCATTAAAAAACTGTATTTGGCTAATCATGTTATAATAATAAAAAATAAATTATATTTTATCATGACAAGGGTCAACGACTACGACTATATTTGACTACTATATGACTACTATAATACGTATTTATATTTAATTGTTTCTGTGTGTTCTACATACAATCGCAAATAGACCCAAGCACGTAAAATAATTTCTCAGATATAATCAAACATTCAAACTATTGTATTCAATAATGATATCGTAATATTTTGTATGTTTTAGTTAAAATGGATGTTTCTTTGATCTTTTAATAGGTAATAATAATAGTTTTTTATTCAATTTTTTTTTACAATAATAATATCAACACGTGAGTATATTAAACAACATTTTAGACATTTTTTGTGTATACATCTGGCTTACACGCATATTGCTTAATATATCTTTTAAGTTTACATACGAATGAGTGTTTACACTTTACACACTATTATTATTAGTACAGTACAAAATATTCAGATAACAATATTGGAGACGTGTGATATTTGCACATCTGTTATACCTTATAACATTATTATAGATAGATATATATTTATTTTATTTACACTATTTCGTCATAAAAAAAAAAATTATTCAATAGTATCAATCATATAATAATAGTAATAGGTAACATATCTATTACTCTACAAAAGATAAATGTGGTTCATTTTTTTTTTTTTTTTGATCCATTATCGATCGATTTGAATAATTTCTATGTAATTAATACCTATGACCAATTACAAACATATCTACATCAGTATGACAGAATAGACAAGATATAAGTGAACTTGACAATATAAAGTATTTATAATTTAATACTATACTGATTCTAAGTTTATTATAATGTACTAGTGAATAGTGATATTATCATGAAAACAACCTATTAATTAGTATACAATTATGCACCTTTTTCCTGTGGGGCCCATAAAATGCCTACTTTATAAATTCGATATTTTATTCTTTAAGAAATACACGTGTATATCTTATTGATAATTAAAATTGTACCGTTTTCTGCTAAACATTTTTAGTAAAAATTGTATTGTGAACTTTGATAAGCATTTATTTATCCAATATAATATAGGAAATAAATATAAAAATATAAATTTACAACTTGATTTTTTAGCTCTGAATTTATAGCGCTTGAATAATATTATAATTCATGTTTATCACAATTTTGATTTATATGGATTTGTTTTAACGATATTAATTATTTTTGTACCGAAACGTTTGTTCAATAAATCGTCCACATTACATTATTATAATAATGTTATATAATGCACGCAGGATGCGTTCCGTGTTTTGATTTTTTCGCACATGACCGTGACACCACCACCAGCTGTGGTTGGATTTACTTTACTATTGATAGCTGTTGTAGTGTCCGTACATAGTATAAGTCCGTATCTAATGTCCGCACGTCATTTAACACGGGTATAATATGACCAATTAAGAGCGTTTGTGTTTTTTGAAACCCCTACATTACTTCCGATTCGGTTTAATCAGTGGTGCGTGTCCGTAAAGGGGAAGTGCACCCATTAGTGTGTAAAAAATGTGTGCGCAACTCGAAACTAAAATTATAAAATACCGGATATCGTAATGGGCGTAAGTATGTACATAATAATATAATGTATAATAGTATAATAATAATATAATGTTGCAGTATGCGCGTGCACCTATATATATATATATGTATCCCTTGCTTTTATTTTATATTTATAAACACACAAAAGGACAAGAGCAATGCATCAAAATGATTGCGTGATCCGGTTCAGAGGCTGTCCTTGGTGTATCGCGGGTGGTATATAACAGTATATTATTATTGTTATTATTTTACCCATTACTCGTAATGTACAATGTATGATATTGTATATAATATAAATAGTGTGTGCTGCCGGTGGTACCTACAATAAATTATCCATATTAATAGACAGAGATGAAAATATGTCGATCAGAGATCCGGTGAATATTATGACGGAGGCGGAAATACATTTTTTATGCGCCCTTTTGATTATATTACATTCGGGCAACCCTAAAGGATTTCATATGTAGGATGGTAATATGACAATATCGTTTCCTTTTTTTGTGACATTATATTTCTCTTTTTTATTGAAAGTAAAATAACAATTTTTTTTTAAAATTGGCTTGGTAAAAACCGTGTCTTTGAACTCTCGTTTTATTTCACCTTGTACGAGTAATGATATAGCTAGTGTACTGCATATATTATAATTGTTCAACACGGATCGAAACTGTCAAGTAGCTCCCACTATAGATTTATTGCGTTTGGCATAATAATATATTACGTATTGGTATAAACGTACAAATGTTTTCACTTGTAATAAAACTGTAAGTATATTATTGGGTACGTGATATTATCACATGTTATATTGTTGTGTTGTCGACTCGATTTTATAGTTTTTGATAACAACTATATAGGTAATAATATATGCACCATGCGTATTAGTATTCAACACAGAACAATATTATTGATTTATAAACATAAAACATTTGCACACAATACTGGGGTAATAAATAACGTCCGGGTGAATAAAATAACTGTTTGAAGGCTTCTTACATGTGTCTAAAATTCATTACCAAAAAAAAAAAAAAAAAATCACTCGACAGATAATATTATATAGGTACTTATACTTTGGCAAAAAATAATGGACGATCAGCACTCCTGTAGCTTAGCCCCGGTGGTTTCCTCGCAAAAGTCATTGTTGCAAAAATTAAGAATGAAAGTCGCATTGTGTTTTTAAAAGTACAATTTCGTCATTTAGGCACTTATAATGCACATTGTGTTTTGCACACAATTTGTTGACTAATACCACTCTTACCACTTTTGTAAAATATTTTATTTTCTGTTATTTGCAGTATTTCGGTTTCGCTGTGTACACTGGTGCGTGCAGCAATAATCTCCATTTGTGTTGTGAGGTCATAGCCCATGAATTTGGATCGCTGAACAATACTCTTTATTATACACCTGCGTCTAGGTTAAGTGTTCCTACGGCCACAGTAGTAAAATCGTGATGATCTGAACTCCGTTCTCGTACAGGTAAAACAAATAAGTTACCGTTTGCAAAACGATATTGTATTAACCTTTATATAGATGAATATTAATAGTCAATAGTCAATAATATATGGTGTTATTGATATACCCAATAGTCAATATATGGTGTTATTCATAAACTTAATAAATAATAATTAATATGGTTTGTTATTTATACGCATTTCATTCCAATAAATTTGATATATTTTACTATAATCATATATTATACACAGTATACACTATACATTAACCGCAATACGCATATTATGGAAAATAGTAAAGTGTATCATTGGTATTCTAATAGTTTATGTATCCACTATCCTCCGGAAGTTGTATAGCAGGGTGGTCACTAATCTTAATTTAGAGAGCAGGAAATTTATGAAGCTAATTCGAAGCTAGCCACATTGTTAAGATATGTTTATAAAATGGTTTATATACAATTAAGACTCATTTCTCATTTTTTAACAAAAGAAGGAACATTAATTATTTATTTATACTATACCATTTATACTATAATATACCTATAGTTACATTAAACCAAACCACCGAGGAATGAACACACTAAACTTTTTGTTATAGATACTGGAAACTGTTTTCTTCTATTTGATTTTAGTTAAAAATTTCATTTTAGAATTTATCATGTGTTTGTGGGTTGGCTGCATCTGTATCAAATTATAACTTTTCTTATTTACTTTATATATTATTGTTTACTTGTAATTTCAACGGATACAATTATTTTGGTTTATTTTATATTACAATATTACAATATTTTATATTACTTTAACTTATAGTAAAGACAATGCAGTAAAGATCCTTTGGCAGCAGTTCGAATAAAATATAGTATTTAGGCTGCTTGTGCTCAATCTATACTCGTAAATTGCAGGTGTTCATGAATTTGTTAAAAAATCGTCTGACGTCATTTTACATATGTTTGTATTGAAGTTGCATATTATTATGATATTTATTATTATTTTCCTAAATCTACTCGTTGTTATATAATATTTTATATGTGTATAATTTTTTTCTATGCAATTTTATGACAACTAAATTTTTTTATTAGACGAACTCACTAGTTACATTATGCAGTACATTATACCTAATATATTATATCAATATGATATCATTTGCTTAATGTTTAAAAATTACAATTAGGTTTTTACAATATCAAAATATTTTTTTTACTTATTATGATACGGTTTGTCTTTTATGTCTTAACAGCTATCTGCTACTAAACGTATAAAAATAATGATATAGGTGTAATGTATATATTACCATATTTGATTAATGGTTAGTGTAACGAACTATTTAATTTATTTATAGGTATGACCAACATCACCAAAGTTCAATTAAGCAAATGTTTTAAAATTGTAACCCTTAACAGTTTAAAACAACTATTACTATAGCAATTATTCACTAGGTATGTTAAGTTTAATAAATAATTTCACCTCTACAATTTTACAAATCAATCTGTTATGCAGTTTAGTATTCGACCGATTATAAAATGTATTATGCATATTATTATATATATTAATATATAAAATATTAAAATTTCCTCTGAATCACTGAAAAATTCCAAGTATATAGTTACGAAAAAATATAATTTATACAAATATTGTAAATTGTAATGTAGTATTCACCTCTGGTATAGTTGTATAACACGTCCTTGGAACAACGCGATATTCGTATTCGATGGGTTCCACGTAATGTTTGCTATATAAAATTATAAATTGAATATCCATTATCCATCCTTTGAGAAAGAATAAAATATGAAGTATGGAAAAGGACTATCCGTAACAGCTACATAAATCTAAAATTTTTTTATGTTTATAATATAGTGGTACCTACTATTAGTAATTATCAATTAAAATCGTCGGTATTGGTATAAAATCCGAATTAAAATTGTTTTTTCCCCTGGTATAGGTAATTGAAGAATTGATATTATTATGTTATTCACGAGCAGCACTATTTATTATTGATTTTTGGCACATCAACTATACCTCATGTTTTATCGGTAAATTATGTATAGTATAAACATAATAATATATTACTCGAAATATTGTCGTCTTTTGTTAAAGGTACAATAATTTAATGCCTTATAAATATTTGTTTATACCTCTCTTATATGGGCTGTGAATTTTATTTATCGTATTATATAGTTATTTATAAAAACCGTAAAGACATCGATATTCTTTATGGACATGATATAAATAATATATCAATTGTTATAACTATATGCGGCGTGCATTTGTATTTTGTATTGTAATTAATTCATTAATTAAATATTCGTATTTTAATATATGGAAATTATTTTCACGCCTAAGCTTATCTGATCTGTTGTCAAACTTACGCTATTATGCATAATATTATCATTATTGTTTTGTTTCTACAAATTGATAGCACAGTGGCGTCACATTATTTCATTAATATTAATATTTTACCTTTCAATATTTATGTACCTATATGTTGTATAATGTATAGGCTATAAATAAAAAAAAACCCTAATGGGATGTTAATACTATTTGTATCCCACAAAATTACGCCACTGTGATAAATGATACAATCAGGAAATACATTTTGTTTATAATGTGCATAATGGATAGGTGTAATGAATATTTTTGAAACAAAATGCCAATATTTAATTATTATATAAAAAAAAATTAATATTCGTATCAATTGACGTATTTTTGTAATTCGATGCGTTTCATTTGATTTTATTTCTACTTTATAATACCTAATAAATTACATTCACATACATCATAATATCGGTATGCGTATACATATGTAGAAATTCAACTTAGGAAAAAAATTTAAAAAAAAAACAATTTGGTGTGTATTTCTACCAAGATTTTTGTACCTTTAAAGTTTAAATCGACTTTTGTTTAATAAATAATAGTATTTTTTTATTTTATAGTTTATATATTGATAATTGCGCGATTTCATTTATTAATTTCTCTGTTTAAAGTAGATGTTTAATAAATAATAGTACCTACCTATATATTATATATATTTTTTTTTATAGTTTATACATTAATAATTTCGCGATTTCATTTATTAGTTTCTCTGTTTAAAGTAGATGTCAGTCAGGCAAAAAAAAAAAGAAGCCGTACAATGCAGTAATTACTCGACCACATTTACTAATGTTCTCTGTACGTTCGGTTATTGGATATCAGTTTCTCTATGAATTCGCAAAAATGTTTTACCTGTATATTGTATACTCTTTTTGAAACCACACAATGGCACAATTTGCATTTAAGGCGTGAATATCGCAAGAAAAACATTATATGCAATGACAATTTGGCGTTTCGTAACACTTAACTCTATACTATATATGAAATAATATAATATATTTGCCGACTTGTCATATAAGTACCTACACGTGCAAAGCTCATGCAAATAAATATTAAAAGTGCAACATCCGGGTCGTCCAAAAGAAAAGTCTAAATACAACGATTTAAATAATATCTAATTCAGAAACGTCTTAAAAACGAAATCAGTGTGCTATTCACATTTCACACGAAACAAGCGCAGCAGAAGAATATTAATAATATAATGTGTGATACACTTTTCCTTGCAAAGCTACCATATGTTTGGATTATTATACGTCTCTAAATAACAACAATTTCAACCGTTTTTTTTTTGCGTTTATATACCTATTAAAATATTATTGCACACCTACATATGTTATAAACCAATTATGTTTGAATATCGCGTGGGATAATTCTGAACTTGACTCGAATTTAGCAACTAGGATACCACCATTATACCAGCTATAATATATTATATGTTTATTATACCTTAACGCCGTGTCCTACGTAAATCCGACTTTTACTATTCCTATCATGATTTTCCGTCGCAATACGCATGCGGCCGATGCGACTAAATACAAACCGTTTTGTTTTGCATCGGATTCACTTGACACGACATAAGTCAATATTACTACATTATGTAACGATATTCATTGGAGGGCATTTGTGGGAGGGATTTAGCTCCCGGAAATCCCATTATCTACCCTCGACTGTTCCGTCCTATATATTTCTTGAAATTTTAAAATAATATTCGACGACGTTTTAACTGTATAACAATATGCTACAGCCTTAAATATACTTAATATGACTATAAATTGTAATTTAAAAAAATATATATAATATATTTAAACTGTTTATGCCTTACACAAATGATACTCATATCGGCTTATCTGGTTGATAATATGTACACCTAGATTTAAAAATTAATTTTAATTTTTTATTTACATAACCGTCACGATTGAGTGTCGTTAATTGAATGAAGTAATTTTTGGAGGATAACGAGAAGCCTCCTCCGTGAGTCGTGGTGACAATCTGGGTAATGTTTCAAATGAACAAATGGTTCTCAAAAACTTTCAAATTTTTAATACCTAATAAGATGATATGATGTGCTCTTTTTTCCTCGCTCTGATGTGCAATGGCTTTGGGATGACCCTCACTTACTTAATTTGCTGGTGCTTATTGCTTCCCCCTCACACATCTAAGACAAAATGCCTATCCGTATGCCTCGCACGCTCAAAATCCCGGCGGAGTATTGCAATGATTAATTATTGAGTGTAATATTATATGCTTATTACTTCTACAAAAACACGGCGATTAAGCGTCAATTAGCTTAGCAACGATGACCGTGCGTAATGCAGCAGGTATTCCGCCGCAGAAATTTCCATATTATTATGTATGAATAAAAAATAATAATGGGCACCTAATGACCGCGTTCACGGAAAGTAAATATGATTATTTGTCAGCGCATGTGACGTAAAATATATTATATTCGCCTCAACTCGATCGCATATAGACGTCTATACCGGGAATCGTTATAAAATAATAACCCCGTTTCGTCAAC